GTTTGTCTTGTCTTACCATGGAAGTGTGCTGGGCATGTGTAGTTCTTGTGCAGTTGTCCCTGTGATAGACACACACACACACATACACACATCATGTTCACTGTGAAACCTGAGAGTTAAGGTTAAGCAGTAGGACATTTAATTGAAACATTTTCTGTCAACAATCCCTGAGATAGTGTTGGACATTTGAACAGTTAGCATGTAATGGTAGAGAATAATATATTTATGAGCCCCCCGACATTTTTCTTTTTAATTCAAGTCAAACCATTCACACACATACATGTAGGGAGTGTGTGTTAGAGGTTTGTTCTGACAGAAACCTTTCACCTACATGGTTACAAATAACCCCCTCGACCCTGCTCCTTGTCACATTGGCCTTTGGCTGGACGCAGTGTGTGTGTCCCTTTTTTTTTTAAATAGAAACCCTAGATTTTATGGGACACAGGTGAGAAAACTAGATCTGAATTAGTTTTCGATTTTCACTTTTTTTTTGTGATGGTGAATTGATGTCCATACAGTGCTGTAAATGATTTATTTTTATGTGCGAACGTGAACTCAAAATAACCCCTAACACTGTTAGTCCTCCTAAAGTAGTCCGATATCAAAATAATCAATTGCTTGTGCAAGTATTAGGAAGAGCTACATTGTGTAAGCTTGAAATATATCCAGTTAGTTTGTCCTCAGGCTTATATAAATGTGTTTAATATCTAGATTCATGCTTTCATTTCTGATTGGCTGATTCTCCATAATAGATGTTAACTTGGAAGTAGCTGAATGCTAATGTTAGCTGTGTTCTGATGGTTGCTAGTGGGCTATTGGAGGGCTACTGATGTTTCTCCCGATTTCACTGTCATTGTCAGTTGATCAAATTAGTGACAATTACATGACTTAAACCAAGAATGAACAGACAGTATAACAGCCTGTGAGTTTCCAACCCGGAGCGTGACGTCATGGCAACATAGCCGCTGCAGGAATGTGGTCTATTGGTAGTTGAACAGGTAGACTGAATACATTTTTTCCTTTGAATTCAATGGAGCAGTTTGGCAAATGTACAGTTTTATGAATTTCAGCTATGACAATAGGATGTGTTATTTTAGGAAAGGAAAGTGCAATGCATTATCTTGACACACACACACATGGGAAAGAAGGTTTAATATCAGGCTATATCTTGAAAACAAGCCATGATTTGTAGTAATGTGATGTCTGTATATGAGAATTGGATTTATTATTATGATCATGTCATGGGTTGGATGTGTGGGTGTTTTTGGCTGAGGCTGTAAAGGAAAATGTGATTGTCACTCGAGGCACATCATGACGTACCTTGACAGACCTCTGTCACTGATGCTTTTGCTCCCAGCAACACCTGTGATTAAATAAGAGAAGGAGATCATATTTCTGTTTCCACACTGTTCCTGTTCAGCCTGAGCTGTGAAGCCTGTGTGAAATCTTTACTTGTTTTGGCTAGGGGATTATTAGCTGACCTTTTAATATTGAATTGTTTTGTGTTGTGTTATGTACACAGGGTAATACACATTTAAAAATATAACTGTATAGTTGTTACAAGTAGAACACTTTGTGGTCTCATCTGGTTAAAACCCTTCTTAGCGAGACACACATCAGGTAAAAGTTGTTGTCAATATACTTCCAAAGCTATGTTAGCAACAAAACCAATTCAGTTCATTGGACCTGTTATCATGGAAATCGGTTTCTCAGCTCATGTTCAGGTGATTGGAGGCGGTCAGTAGGTAAAAGGGCAAGGTAACAAAAAGTCACCAAAACATTAAAGGAGGTGATAGGTGACTCCTCTTCAAAGTCACAACACTCCAAAGAATAAACTGTAATTGTTGTAACACCAGCAGGAAACAGGAGAAGCACGTGAGGCCAGCTTTCATACAGTTGGCTTCACTTGCTTAGTGCTAGATGTTTAACAATGAGGAGTGAAGACTACACTAAAACAACACCACACACTGCTGACTATGTCACAGTTTTAACTCAAATGAGTTCTTACATGTACATGGTTCTGTTCTGGTTATACTGTACAAGGACAGTCAAGTGAATGTGTTTTGGTTGTTTATACACATGACACCAGGTTTATATAATTGGTCTTTGTTAAACCCTGATCATCATGTTTCTCTATTTTCTGCCGTTTGATGGACTGAACGACTAATTGATAAATAAAATATTCATGGAAAATATTCACATTTTTCACCGCTTGTGTTTTCTCACGTAAAAAAGGACCTTAGCTCCATGTTGTTGCAGTAGTTGGACTAGTGTTAGTTTTATAAACTCGATACTTTCGTGTATTCAAAGCTCAATTTTTTTTTTTAAAGAGTATGATATCATACACAGTCGAGTCAAAATAAACACCAAAATATTCAAATTAGGTCAAGTTCTCCCAGGTTGGAACTTCCTCCAAATACACTAAACACTACCAATGTCGTTTGTAATAACTGTTCATGCTTAAAGCGACAATACTCCATTTAGATAAGTTTACACAGGCTTCTATTACTTAAACCACGTGGAGCTAAAACAGCTTTTCATACATGTTCACATGTTGTTCACCCATGACCTGAAAGCTAAAAGTCATATTTGGTTGCACTCATCTGAACAAAGACTTGACCTCAATAAGCCAGACAGTCACTTTGTTCCCTCAACAGTCTGTTGTGAAACTGTCCCATCTCCTGATCTTAATGCCATGTCTGTTCTGATGGCACAGAGAGCACCAGCATAGGTTTCACACACAGACAGCTCTGGTATGCTAGAGAATCTCAAAGTCCAGGTTTAAGGAATGTTTAACACTTGAGGAAGAAAAAAAAAAGTATCAAGTGATCTCAGAAGGATGCGCATCATCTCAGGTAGAGCAGCATTCGGTAGCAGAATGCCCTTTCTTTGATGATTTTCTGGTTTTCTTTTAAGTAAATCTAACATGTTTTAGTTTGGATAAATGGGCAGATAAGACAGGTATGAATACAGTTACCTACAACCTTTTCAAATTTCATGCTTCTTCTCCTCTAGTTTCTTACAATCTATCATAAATATATCAGATCAAAAAGAAACATAGTCCACTGATGGAATAAAAACACCTACCGTAATTGTTAAGACAGAACTATGAGATTTGTCCCCGTTGCTTTCTTTCCCCAGTTGTTTCTCAACAGATTGGCTCATAATATTTGTAATATCTCATAACACATTCTTTATTAAACACCACTGCTTTCCACAGCAACACAACATCATATGTTTAAGTAAAAATGTTCCGTCTGAGGCAGCTGCAGTGTTCAAATGGTTCTAAAATATAGATCTACTGCCCTTCTTCTCCAGCAGCAAACTTAAAACCTGAATACTTGATTAAGACTAAAATAATACTAATAAGCTCTTGTAATTGGAACCTCATTAAACTCATTGTCACAACATGACTCACTGTAAAGCAAATGTTTGAAAACAGTGTGCGCTCCACTTATTTTAGTGCTAAACCTGGTCATTGGTATTTGGTGAACTGCCAATGCAAAGAGAAGTTGGTCAATGTAGGTGGCTACTAAAAATGGCAACACGTATTTCTCCTCAGTATAGAAATATTCTGTTGCCAATAGAGTGAATGTGTATTCATTGAATGTTTAGAAAATACTGACAAAGTTGGATTTAGTGTAGTGAAATGGTTTATATCATTTTTGAAAATGTGTTTAAACATTTTAATACAATTTCAAGGTAAACGTGATTGTAGAATTACTGTATTTGTCTTGATCATCAAAATGATTGAATTAATTATGACACCAAAATGGCTAAGATGAAAAACTGTTTCACTACATTAAAACTATCTTGCAGTATCTGCTCCCTTCCATCCGAGCGAGTCAATCTTTCTTGAATTGAATTGAACTGATGATGAGACAAAATGCAAACACAAGATGGCAAAAGGCTGTGAGAGAATGAGAGAGGAAAATAAGAACTGAGGGATCAAGAAATGTGAAATTATATGTGAAAGGCAGAGGGTGATGTGGTTGGTGTAGACAGAGCGGTAGAGATGAAGGGTGAAGGAGAGATAAAGATGGACGGTGTGTACAAGAATGTGTCTGATGCAGAGAGATGGAGAGGAAACATGAAGAGGAAGAGAAAATAGGAGGCTGAGGAGTTCGTAAGAGACAGATATGATGGTGTGGGGGGGGGGTCTGTTTCCATGGCAACTCTGGTTCTTTTTGAGCTGTTTTTTTTTTTTTCTTCTTGCCGGTTGCGCTGGAAGGTTTTTTTTTTTTTTAGGTGCAGAACCTAATGTTCTACACAACTAATTATTCCCTCTCTCCATTCCTCTGTGCAGAAAGTTATCTGTGCATCTTATTCCACTGTCATACAGCAAATGCCTAAATAACACAGGCCGACTGAACATCTATTAACAAAAGGTTGAATGTTTATATCATCCAGGTGCTGCAGATCAAACAGTGTGAATTATATTCTGCAGAGATGATTGTTTTCTAGTAAATGCCCAAAATGATCCCAGTCTTTTGAGAAAACAATGGACTCTAATATTTTGTTACATTTGATCAGTCAAAAAAAGATGTATTTTTTTGACTGATCACAGACAAAGACAGAAAACAATGCATTTGATAATTATTACTGTTGATCGTTTTCATTTGAACTTAAACTACTGTCTAGTCCAGTTTGCGGTGCACATTACTGCTTAAGTCAAGAAGTATGCTGTGTTTCATTTAAGAGATTGTTTGATACATTTCCATCCTTATTAACTAAATTAGACATACTGTATTTCAACTTTACACCATTTTTAGTTTGCAGCTACATTAAAACACAGTTATGTATCAAAGTGCAGTCGGGAAATCTTGTGCTGCCGGTCACAGTATTTGACTTTTGTCTGTCAATTTCTGCTGCCCTGTCGCCCACTTTTTTTTGTGTTTGTTATCAGTCAAATCCTCATTGATGTTGTTCTGATGTATTTGATGTCTTCCTGTATTTTTAAGTAAAGAAGTAAAACTTATTTATCTCCTCCTCTCCCACAGCTTTCCCCTGGTTTGGTATGGACATCGGTGGCACGTTAGTGAAGTTGGTGTACTTTGAGCCAGTTGACATAACAGCAGAGGAAGAGCAGGAAGAAGTGGAAAACCTCAAGTCCATCCGCCGCTACCTCACCTCAAACGTGGCCTATGGTATGTCCATGCTCACAAACACACAAGAACAAGTACATGTGGTAAGAGTACTTTACAGTAGGATACCAGACAGTCTCTGTATGCATTACATCAGACTGATGAGGTGTTTTTAGATATATATATTTTTTACTGATCTTCATTGTTGAAACCCTTACCTCTAAAGTCTCGGAGCTGAACAGCAGCACCACAAATAGAATAAATAAAAGTAATTTAGTACTCAAAGGAACTTAAACTTAAATTATAGGTTGAGCATTTTTAATCTCCTGAATTCTCCCTCACTCAGGCAAAACAGGAGTCCGTGATGTCCACCTGGAGCTGAGGAACCTGACCATGTGCGGCAGGACGGGAAACCTACACTTCATCCGCTTCCCGACTCAGGCCATGCCTCGTTTTATCCAGATGGGTCGCGACAAGAACTTCTCCAGCCTTCACACAACTCTCTGTGCCACTGGAGGTGGCGCATACAAATTTGAGAACGACTTCAGAACAGTAAATGCCTTCACCATATTCACATAGAGGCGACAAATAGATTATATTTGGGGACACCTCCAAGATATGTTTATAGACTTAATACTTGTATAGAGCTACAGCTATAGGATTCCTGTAAGGCAGAAACACAAGACCTCTCAAAGTCCTTGTGTTTCTAAGAGTATTCTAATGAATGTGTTTTTCATTGTGTAAAACTGTGCCAGGTGAACACTGAAAGAAAGAGCAGACACAAGACAAGGTCTTCATGAAGTAGTGCAGAAAAGGCACAAATTGGTGCGTCAAGATGAACCAGAATGCAGCAGAAGAAATGTTTGCTGCTCAAAAGAAAATTCTGGCCACCCTTACCTGCTGGTGCCAATGATTAGATGGCAGGAAACTAAGTGATGAATGTCATTAACAAACAGGATTTCAATTTAGCAGAAATTGACGTTTTCTCAAATGAACCTATCTGTTTGCCCCAGTGCCAGCTTACCCGAGTTCATTGACCCTCTCTGCAGTACATTGTGATCAATGAGCTCTCTCTGAGCACTGCAGTACGTGCACACAGCATCTATAGCTTGTCCACACATGAGTCTTTAAGGGCTTTATAATACAGACCAATCAATGCTTCAGAGGAATGGGATACTTTTTTTACTTTCAATCATCTTTGAACTTTTAAAATCCCCTGTTAGTGTTCAGCAGTTAAAATATAGCCCTCTCTGTATTTTAACCTCCATTTGTGCTGCAGATGGCCGACCTGGAGCTGCTGAAGCTTGACGAGCTGGACTGCCTGATCCGCGGCCTGCTGTTTGTCGACCGGGTGAGCTTCAATGGACACCAAGAGTGCTACTACTTCCAGAACCCATCAGACACCCAGAGCTGTGTGAAGAAGCCCTGCACCCTGGACAACCCCTTCCCCATGCTGCTGGTCAACATCGGCTCTGGGGTCTCCATACTGGCCGTGTACTCAGAGAACAATTACAAACGTGTGACTGGGACCAGGTGAGGAGGAAGGACATCTTAGTACTAAAAAGTTCAATGTCAGATTGAATTAAAACAGGCTTTTACACTGCAGAAAGTCCAAGTTCTGCTCAAGGAAACTGTAGAAAAAAAGTTAAGCCTACCATTGTTTGTAATGAGGTCCCAAATCTATTAAAAAGAACAGCAGTCAACAATGACTCATTAGAGCAGAGCTGATCTGTGGGAGAAGGAGGGAATGGTTTGACGTCATGCTTAAACTGTCCATAGCTAGTAAAAGACCCTCACAAAGAAATAAGAGAACATTACATCCTCTTTTTACTGTAAGTGCAAAAGAGGATGATAGTGGACAGATACCTGCAGAAAGACCAAGAGGCAGCAGAGAGAGCAATATTGTTTTAATATGTCAAAAATATATAACAACCAAAATCTGCTTGATTGTTGTTAAGACACAATGTTCTGCTCAGACAGAATATAACAGGATATTGTTTAGTATTAACCTTGGAGGCATATTTCAACTTCAGTAAGAAATTGTGATTTTTAATGTCGAGGAAGATGGGTTTTCCCTCTGTGGAAAAGGTAAACTATTTTTTAAATAACTTTTGAGACAGGTCTGGATCGTCTTAACATTTGATACACACTTGTTTGTGTCAAGACGAATACAGCTATGTGTGACTCTTGCATAAGGCCGGATGACAAGCGAAGCTTAATCTAGTTAGACCGCACCTGTAAGATTTTTTACCATCTTTAATCATGCAGTCGATCTGCACGAGCAAAGCAAGTGATGAAATGCCCATCAGTGCTGATCCATTTGAATGGCTCATTACGTGTGGAACAGTAAAGATCAACTCAAAGATTAAAATGTGACTGATTTCTATTGTTTGGAAAAAGCATTCAGTGAACAGGAAGGGAAGAAGCGTTACATTAAATACGACTATTTTTGTTTGCATAATGTTTGGATGAAGAGTGTTCAAAGATCAAATAAAAAAACAATAGACCAAACTCATTTGTTCCCCATCTACCCCCAATCAATTTTTTTGTCAAAACTGCAGCTCAGCTGATCTATTTTTTATTTTTTTAAATCAGTTTTTTAGTATCTATCTATTTTTTTGTACAGTCTTATTTTTTATTTAAATTGTACTGTGTTCACTTTTTGTTTGCAATCTTTGCTCTTTGCTGCTGTAACAATGTAAATTTCCCCGTTGTAGGATAAATAAAGGATTATCTTATCTTATCTTTTGCAAAAGATGAAGGCACCTGAACACTTTTTATAGCTGCACCTTTTGAACCTTTGTTGCCAGAGTTATGCAATGTCATTCCTCGATTATGATTGTATAGTTATCAAGAAGAAGTATCCAACCTGACTTGTTTTTTTACATTAACATTCTGTTCTTATAATGAAACAACACCTCCTCTCTCTCCCCTCTCACAACTAAAGTCGCGCATTTAATTACGCACGTTGTGTGTGTGCGTGCATGCATGTACACTTGCAGGTGGAAGGTTCACATTTCAGTCAGAGTTCACCAAACCTGTGGGTGTGGGGCCATACCTGGAGGCTTGTTGTGTCAGGTGTTAAGTTGATCTGAGTGTGTGTGTGTGCGTGTGTGTGTTCTGGTATGTATGGGTTTTTAATCTTTAAATGCCTTATTTACAGTGTGGCCTTGTGGCATGCTGATCAAGCAGCAGTGTAATCACTGCACACAGACATCTGTTAAAAGAAGTGACAGCTGATATTGATCCATTTATCAGGAAAATTAATCAATTGGCCCCATTTTTTTCCTTAATTATATTGAATATGAAATATTAGTAGTGTTTCAAAACAGCTGTCTCATATCCATGTGTTCTTTAAATCAAACTCATCTCAGAGAAATTAATACTTCCTAGAGGCCCAAACACAATTCTTAACTCTTAGATGGAGGCATATGAAAACATATTGTCTATTGTTTTATTTGAACTCTTCACACCTATTCACTTGTGTCTTCAGTCTCATCATTATCTCTTACTGTCCTTCCTGTCTGTTATTTTTCTGCTCACACTCTCTCTGTCTTTCAGTCTGGGAGGTGGCACATTCCTGGGCCTTTGCTGTCTGCTGACCGGCTGCGAGACGTTTGAGGAGGCGTTGGAAATGGCCAGCAAAGGCGACTCTACCAACGTGGACAAACTGGTGAAAGATATCTACGGAGGGGACTACGAGCGCTTTGGCCTGCAGGGCTCCGCCGTTGCATCAAGGTAAGCATGAAGAGGGAATAGTCAATTGACCAAAATGATGCCACAGCTTACAGAGCCGTTGATGACAATGTTAATTATACTGAGCAACTCCTCCGCCTATTGAATGTGATGATGTATAATGACCTCTGTCAGTGTGGAATAATACAAATAAATTTCTAAAAAAAAAAAGACATGAAGACAAACTGGTTAAATGTTTGTCTTTGTCCAGTTTCTTTCTAATATCAACTGTGTTGAACATTTATTTTTTATAAATACAATACCCATGAACATTGATGAAGTAAGACAAATTTTGTCCGCACAACAATCTAACTTTTTTTGCTGTGGCAGCGACAATAATCAAAGCATAATAACTGCAAGGCAGGCAGTGAAGCGCATAAGTCCCTCCTCTTTAGGTGGACCAACAGGGCACAGTATTTAAAGAAAAAAAAAACCTGTACAGTATTTGATGCATAATTAAAATAATTTCTTGGTCCTGTTTGAATTGTGCAATGAATCACATGTAATGAATGATTCTGAAATGACTTGAAAGGGTTTTTTATTTTTATTTAACCAGGAAACTCGTGTATGTGGATGTAGAGCTGTTAAATCCTTTATTTACCTGAAGGTTGCACATTCACAAACACAGTAGAAACTCAGACACACACCAGCTAACACTGTTATGACACAGTAGCTGACTGGTAGTATTAAGCATAAAGTACACACACACACACACACACACAATCACCAACATACTCGGACCTTCACTGACTAATCTTGGTTACAGTGTACCCTCTGAACCTGCAGCTCTGTGTGCAAAGGTTGTACCATAAGGAAAAGGGATTTTATTGAGTATTTTTTTTACTGATGTTCCATTTTAACATTTGTTGAAACAAAACAGGCATACGCATACACTGATTAACAAACAGTTCTTGTTTACTGTTGTTCTGAAGGTTATTGTGACATTATCAGAGGTGCTGCTTGCCCTTATCATCTCCCTGTGATTTGATAAAAAGGTCAATGAACTTAAATAGTACCAAGGATGAAAGTGTGTCTTTCTATTTAGTTAACAGGAGCATTTATAGAAGATGATTTTATTAAAATCTTGTATTTTTTTTCCAGTTTTGGTCACATGATGAGCAAAGAGAAGCGAGACAGCATCAGTAAAGAAGACCTGGCCAGAGCCACACTGGTCACCATCACTAATAACATAGGATCCATAGCAAGGATGTGTGCGGTCAATGAGGTATATAAACACACAGGCGCACACACACACACACACACACACACACTCAAACATGCAGGATTCTGGTCGGTCATCTTCAAACATAATACTAACAACAGGAATGAGTGATTTTATACCACTACATGAGTGATAATTGCTACTTTCACCAGTAACCTTAGTCACAAATGCTTTTTAGTGTTAAAATACCGCAATGACTATGGGATGGATTAGGACCTGTGTACAGCCCTTTAGCTAAGCCTTGCTTACAGACTTCCAGGTACATCTCCCAGTAGTGGAGCCAAAGATATACAGGCAGCCAAACATCATTTTCCCTCCAAGCGGCCTTTGACAAAAGATTAAAAAAAAAAGGTCTAAAAAACTTTTTGTAGGACACATAAAACTTCAAACAATGTCAAGCATTAATCTTTTAATAAAACATAGTGCACGTTTTATTTTTATTTTTTTAAATTTATTTTGTGGCTTTTTTTGCCTTTTATTGTAGCGATAGGACAGTGGATAGAGTCGTAAATCAGGGACAGAGAGAGTGGGGTGCGACATGCGGGAAAGGAGCCACAGGTCGGATTTGAAACCCGGGCCATCCGCTGCAAGGACTATGGCTTCTACACATAGGGTACATGCCCCAAGCACTCGGCCATCGGCGCCCCAGTTTGGAAGTTTAGTATTTGTCCAATGTGCATGGCACGGCATACCCCGGAAGAAAACTTGAATGATATGTACATTTCAGGCATTTAAGCCACAGAGCAAATGTAAGTGGACTAACAGGCAAAAGTCCTTCAACCCTATCTGTGAAACTACGACCAATCACAGGCGTACCTTGGCTGCGCTACTCAACATAACAAATGATACTTTCATTAAGAATATGACTTTACTAAAGCTAAGGTAGCCACTGAGCCTTAAAGAAGTCCATCTTTTAAACACAGCTGCGTCTAAAACTAGAAATGCCTGCCTGGAATTTCTTTGTGCTTTATATCTAGTCTGTTTTTATGTTCAGTAGATAATCTTAGACATAACAGTAGGACATGTATTCTGTTAAAAGGATATTGAAACTTTTTAAAATATAAATGTTGTTGAATTCACTGTTATGGCAACACACCACAATGCCCCTAATGCCCTCCCAGCTCACAGCTGAGGGATATTTAAAATTGGACTTTATTGATGGCTCATAAAATACTGTGCTTTGTTGCAGTTTGGGGTTTGTATCTGCTTATTGGCCCCACAGTGACATTTTTGGATGTATTACAAACATAACACAAACAACCAAACATAGTTTGTTGTTGTGGTTTATGGACTGAAATCAAGGAGTAAATCATTTTCAAGGAACAAAAATGGATTAACTGCTAAAGCTGGATTTGGGATTGGTACGTTTTTCCTCCTGCGGAACGAGGGATCGTCTGAGGTATTTGAGTGTTTCTGTGTGCTCTGAGCTTCTTTACAGTGTTGCCTTGTGGCATGGCGATCAAGCAGCATTGTACAGGGCTATCACTGCACACAGAGCTGCAGCAAACACAAGCATCCGCTGAAAGAAGTGTTGGCAGCTGGTGATAATACATAAGAAGAATAAATCAATCTGCCCTATTTCGTCTTTTATCTTCGATGTTAATGTAAGAACGGTTTAGTGGATGAATGAGGCAGAAACCAATACCTGTAAGTCTTTTTGACCAAGCAGCACTGAGTACCTCCTCTATGGAAAAGCCAAAATATACTTTGACCTTTAAAATAAAAGTGCATTTGGTTTACAAGAGCAGTCCGCTTCTTATCTCAGAGCAGTTTTCCTCTGAGATAAGAAGCGAACCTCTATCCTGCAGGGTTAATGACCTGCTGATTGCATATAGATAAGTCGTGTATTTGCTCATTATATAAGAACATCACTGTACTTGTCTAGCCAAGCCAAGCCATAACACACACACACACACACACACACACACACACACACACATGAAAACAACTAAACACACACTCACCTTGTTATGAGTTCACATAGAGTTATCAAATTGCATAATGCAGTTTACAACATGAAGATAACGTCGACTTCTTACAATCATCTTCACACCAGAGAACTACGTCTTGACAATAGTTTCCACAACATATCAGCTTCCTGTTTCCTAAGTGAGATGACATTAAATACTTCATTGTCAAACAGATGACAAAAACCCTTTCAACCTGATCCTTTTCTTTCTTGAATACCAAACTGGGGTGGAGTCAATGATTTAATTTGCAAACGGTACAGCTCCACCCGTCACTGCCTCCCTCCTTTTGATAAATTCCCTTTCCCACACACCTGCTTAAGGTTGACACTTGTTTAATTGAATGGTGTCAGCCATTACAATATCAATGAGCAAATTATATTTTGCCATAAAACCCAATATTTTAAAACAGCCTTTATTGTCATTTTGACCCTTTTTCATTTTTGAGTTAGCTAACACAGCTAGTCAACAATCGGTTACTAATTTGTTTGGCTTCTCAGGTTTCCTCTCGTGAGTTAAGGACCAGTGATGAAGTTATTACATAAAAGAAAGATCTGCAGCACAAGTTTCTCATAGTTCTCCATAAGACAATAACAGCAACATCAAAGCAGTAATAAAAAAAAAGCTTTTAAATAAAGTTAGCATTACAAATACCATTATCAGTATGCCAGAAATGTAGTGATAGAAGGTGCTTAGAGAATATAGTGTCTGTGCAGTAAACACAGCTTGGTTTACAACATGAGTAGAAAACTTACAGGTAACCAGTCTGTCAGCTCTGCAGCACCATCATGTGGTGTGGATGAGGTGTTGATGTGCTGAAGCGCAGATGAAACATCTATTTTAAAGAGTCATGAGTAGGCATTTACAATGTTTGTATCATAGACATAATGTGATACCATGTGATGATAAACTGTTTGAAGCCACTTTTAACATTTTTGTTTTACCTTCCTTTTTTCTTATGATCATTTTTTCATCGTTTTTTCCCCAAATTCCCTCCAAAGTGTTTTACTTTTTAGATTTGTTGTTACATGTTATCCACGTGAGATGCCGTCTTTTGTCTGACATTTTCCCTGGATCTCTCACCATTTTTAGAAAATCGAGCGTGTGGTGTTTGTGGGGAACTTCCTTCGTATCAACACGGTGTCCACAAAGCTGCTAGCCTATGCCATGGACTTCTGGTCTAAAGGACAACTGAGGGCCCTCTTCCTGGAACACGAGGTGAGCAAGACAAAAACTACAACATGTTTAACCTAAACCCAGCTGTGGACCTTCGGTCAAACCTTGACTGTTCGGTGTGTGTGTGTGTTTTCACCAGGGGTATTTTGGAGCTGTTGGGGCGCTGATGGAGCTGCTCAAGACCTCTGAGGATCCATGAAGTCATGGCATGTCATGACATCATCAACTCTAACAAAGACGATGTCATTCAACCCCTGTACGCTGTGATGTCATCAACTTTCGACGCTGCTGAGTGGTCCCGTTCAAACAGGGCCACTAAAGGAACACTAAGAGATGAACACAGAAACTGAGAAAAGCCATTTAATAATTTAACTCTTGTAAATAGTTAATAACCTCTTAACACTCATCTCCTAAATTTCCTAAATTTCCCAGAGTCCCCCCTATTATAGAGGTTTAATATTTTAATCTTTAATTTATGGTTTCCTGTAATTACCTCTGTTGTTTCCTGTAACCGGGCCGGGGGTCAGGAGGTACAGAGGGTTTTAGTGGGTTTTTTTGTTTTGTTTTGTTTTGTTTTGTTACTTTGTGTGAAAAGCTACTGTAGCATTATGGAGGCTGGGATGCCTTGGTGACTATTTGTGCAACAATATTAGGACAGGATGTCTGCACAGAGAAGAATTTGTCTTTTTTACCACATAGTGGTCACCCAGCATCAAGCTGCAGCTGAAAAACAGTAAAACGAAAAGGTTTATATGTTTGGAAGGCATTTTGTTGCACAAAAAGTAGGCCACCACGCTGCAGTTTTACAGAGTGCACTGAAGCCAAATCCTGTCGTGGTTCGTACAAATTCCGCCTCCTTCAGATCAGACAGTAGGCAGAAAACTTTCTCTTTTTTTTTTTTGACTCTTTAGTTGCTCAGCTGCACATTGGCCTTTTTGCTTTTTGTTTGTGTCTCCTCCGTTTGCCAACATGAAAACAACATTAACAACATATATACATACCAAGCTGACCTGCTGAGTTTAGTTTAAGATTAAGGGACCAAGTCTTCCAACAGAAAGCTTTGTCTGCATTGTCTATTTCTGTTGACGGGCATCACCACACTTCAGTACAGTCTGGTCCGGGAGCTGGAGTCTCCCCCTTCCCTGTCTTATCAGTGTGAATTACACTTCAGCAGGTCAGAGGCCTTCTTTCCTCACCCTCTAGCTCCATTTCCACCCTGCTGCCTTGTTTGGATGATGCAGTGTGATTTCATTCATGTTAAGACCATATGACTCATAGCATTACAAAGGTTCAGCACTTGGGCTGTAGATGCAAATGTAGAACATGGTAACACCTTTTGGGGGGGGGGCAATAGGGACCAAGATGGTTCATTTAAGATTGTAATAACTCTTCTGTGTTGTTATCAGCCTGTGTACCTGAGGGAGCAACGTACCCTCTGATGATCTCTGATTAAATGTGATGTCACTCTGAAGCACAGAGCAGAGACTGACAACAACCTGCTGTAGTGAACTAGGAGGCTCAGGTCTGGATGACAAATATATAAGCAGGCAGTCAACAGAATTATTGTTTAGCAGAATCATTCAGATTATTTTTAACACAATCTGATCTCTAAATCACACCCTCATCATATAGTCACATCCTCTGCATTATATAACATCCTGGACCTTTAGAGCCTTTCACCTCCGTTTAATGTCAAGCAGCTGAACTATGAAGCTGGGACAATGAGGTGTCTCAATTGCTTTCCTCTGCGCCACTGTCTACATGCCTTTACTCTCCTGCAGAGAAACTGTGCTCTTCCCCTTTTTTTGAGTCACATTTTGTCTTTTTCACTTCCATCATGCGGTCTTTTCACTCGAGACTACTTCCTTTTTAAAAAGTACCTCCAAAATCACCTCTACCCATACTTAATATTGGTTAGATTTGTGGCTTCTGAGCCTGATCTTTACGGGACCCATAGTACAATAACAAGGGTAAAATGCTAATCAGATAGTTGAATATAATGCAAGTCCTTTCAACTTCTTTGGGACAAAATCTCCTCTTCACCATCTAGTGAACCCTTGGACTTCATGTTTACCCTGACAATTAACATGTTTGCTGATCTGCAGTTCTTTTCATTAGTTTATTGTTAAAAAGATAGAAAGGACAGTTGGATTTATGGCCATGTCGTTCTTAAAACGTTTTAGATGTATTTATCCACAGTGACTTACATTTTACTAACATTTTACATAAAAGTTTTGCACCATTTGATGTAATTAAATTAGCAAATTACAAACTAAAAGTTAATGAGTCATAGGGTTAGTTAATAATCCAATCTTCATGATAGTACACAGTTCTATTAGAATGCAGACACTTTGGCCAGTGTGAAGAGTTAAACATCTAGTTGATGACATCGATGATGGATGTGTTCAATACAGCTTGTTTTTAGTTGTGACTCTTCACACTGTTCTTTCCGAGTGCTTTTTTTCTTTTTTTAATTTGCCTTGTTCCAACTCATGTTTGGATGATGAGTGGCCTCCAGCCTTCAGATGCCACTCGGTCACAAGCCCATAAGTTGCCTTCACTGTGTGTTTGCCTGTTTACATTGTGTTAGTGCCCTTCACTCTCCTGTATGGATTCATTGTTCACCTGCTCAACTTCACCTCAATGTTTTTGAAAAGTCATGCTAGCAGATACATCTTTGTTTCACTCTTGCTTTAGGTGTTTTTCTTTTTTTAAAATACTTATTTTGGGAAATACAGAGAATTAGAATTTTTTTTTTACCATTTCTTTTTTTGTGTGGGGGTGGGAACAGTTTGATAAAACACTATGTCCTTTTAATTGTTTTTATCCTCATTTGTTGGCCAGTAGAAAGCATGTCAAATGAGTTCATCCTGTGGTTTTGAAAATATTGTACTGAATTTATTTTCATGTTTTGATTTGTGTTCGGTTGGCACAAAAGAACCAGTGTGATTGTTTTCAGAAATGTGAATCCTTGCTTTCGTGCTCTTGTCAGGCTGAAGACGATTTGCAGCAGTTGAGGTCGGGGACCAGAGTCTCACTGCAAGTTTGACCTTTTTACCACCTGACAACGCTATCCCCGAAAACAAGTTAACACCCACATAGTCGGAGTATTTTTTTCATGGAAGCCAGTTTGAATATTGTACAGCTGTTTATCATAATGTCCAGTCCAACTGACAGCGCTAGAACTTTTTAACTATTGTAAACAAAGGTGTGAAGACATCTGCCTCTGAAAAGTGATGATGAGGTCTTTTTTTTTAGTGAATCTGTATGTCTCTTGTGGCAATAGATCTGCAAGTTATCACCCTAATTTTAATATTTAAATAATGTAAATCTGTTCAGAACTGGAGTTAACTGACTTGAAAAGGTTTAAATGTTAGTGTTGCAGCTTCAGTGTTTGACTGCACTCATGACTGCACCCATCATTCAAAAGCAGTATCTCATCTTTCAGTGTCGTTGACATTTTTATTATGGTTTGTCTTTCTAAAAATGGGGTTTTTACACATCCTTGACTACAGCCCAAACTCAGTATGAAGTAAGAATTTGGTAATTTAACTGACGGATTTGGAGTTTTGGATTCCTTCCCCTTTCATCATTGGTACCTGTTTCTCTGTTTAAGACTGGCGCTTTGGCTAAAAGCATGAAACCTTATGGCAAATGTTCTGCCATCCACAATGAACTTTAACCACCAGGCTATGCAGTAACTCACCCATGGATCTCTGTCCCTTTTCAACAAACTCACCTCTTCTCTACAGCTCCCAGAGTGTAACTAGTTTGTCAGTGTTTTGAAAAGAATATGCAACTCTGAAAGTTTTACCCTCCAAGGAATCCTGTTTGAATCTTGATGGAGAGAGTTTCTCCTCCCAACGTTTGTCCTGCTGATTTATTTGTTAACTCTTGTTTAAGGTGGATGATCACAACAGGATGTTTAAGGCAAACTTATGCACCAAAATGAGCGTATAAAGTGTGTTTTTCAGTCACACTATGTATATACTGAGGCACTGCAGTGTCGCGTCATTCAACATACAGTCGCTTTAATGTCATCCAAACTGTGATTACTGTCGGATGAATCCTGGTTGATAAGAAATACACTGAAGCTCTGTGACAATTATAAAATGTTGAATACCAGTCACGAGACCTCTTGACGTTGTGCTTGTCAAATGGTTTTCAGGATTTCCTCCGAGGTTCTCGGTGTGGTCAACCATCCTATTGTGTGAAACACATCCAGCCATTAAACTGTCTTCTGGACTGCTTAAATGGCAGGGCAGACCTTTTCCTCCTTGTGTATTTGATTGTACAGAGATTTTGTAAATATTATTATGATATATTCTACACCAGCAATCTGTCTGTTGATGAAGTTGTTTCAACTGTTCAGAGCCAGGTTTCCCAAACACGGCTCGGCACTTCAATTCAAATGCAGGCAAAAGACGGATCTAGACAAACCACTTTCCTCTGCAGCTTTATGACATCAACGACTTCTTTATCAGAGCTCTAATAGATAGTGTTTGCTAATACTTATAGGAGTTTTGTTTAACCTGGTTGTTGTAAATGGTGGATGGGATTTTCCTCAAAAAGACTTGATAAATGTTTCTTCTTTGAATAACTGTCTTGCATTATTGTAAGCCTACATGTGGTAAATCCACTAATCAGTAGTTTTACATTTATTATCGCTTCAGTATCATTTTCTTAAATCCATTCAGGTCCCTTTATCTTTGATTAAGAAATAATCGTGCTAAATATGTCATACTTACTCTGCATGGTGATAAGAACTAATGGGGAAATTTGGTGAGATTGAATTCGACCTCCTGTTTTAACTTTAAAGTGTTATTGTGGTAATGGTCTCAGTGGCCACAGTCCAGGTGTCGGTTTCTGTCTACACAAGTTTAGTGCCGGTTGCTCACATCAGCTTCTCTGTGATCCGGATCCAGATGTGATAGGTTTGGGAAGCCCAGTGCAGGTTGTTGGTGTCAGCTCTGCTGCTGCTTTTAAATCCGGTTTGAAAACAGAAGGGTTACAAAGAAAAAATGACTAAGAAATACTGTCTCCCTGCCTTGTGCAATCTGTATGTACTGAAGTGATTTTTTTTTTTTTTCTAAAAGGAATTAAACTAAAACTGGATGTGTTTGGGATGTGTGTGTGTGTATATGTGTGGCCTACTTCTATTTACATGGGTGGGGATGTAGCAAATCATCTTACTAATGAAAATAATGTGAAAGCCTTGCATCAAATTAAATTTTACAGTCCATGATTAAAATATGAAACAGAAAGTTAACCGTAAGCAAGATGCACTTACAGTGTTGAAAGTACACTTACCCCTGTAGGTGTCTTATTACTGCCGGAGAGGTAATTAATGAAATTGTGTAAGAGGGAATCTTTTTAAACTTATTCATGAAATACATTAAGACAACACATTGTTATAATAAATGTGTTGCGTATGTTAATTAATAGTACTCATTTAGTACTAAAAGTATAAATATTTGAAGGAATTTTTAAAAAGTGGGTAGCTGGCTACTCTTTCTTAGCTAACTAATTATAAATGATCCTGTTATCAGAAGCTTAAATTAAATTAGATCAATCAAAGGTCAGTAGCAGTCAAACGTGTTTAAATTAACTTTTATATGATAGAGGGACAATAATTTGCTTTGAACACATTTCAACTACTGACTTGAAGTTAATGAAAAGTACAAGATGTAGAGGTGAAGAATCTTTAGCCTTATAATTATATAATCATCAGAGAAACTTGGAAATACCATAAGTGTATTAAGTAATAGGCTACTGTAATCTTCAATAAAGAATATACAGTTAAGAAATCCCACAGAAAGAACCAAGACTTTTATGTTAAAGGCGTAGGCCAGAATATGAGTAAATATAAATATAAAATATCTTTAGCAATTGTTTGAAAAGCGATAGACTAATTATTGCACCAGACTATAGCCTATAAACGCACAATAGTTATGTAATGTAGCAATAATAAAAAAAGAAACACTTTCAAAGGGCTAGAGAGAGACACGTTGGTACTGTTTGAGAGAGTATTTGGGGACATACAGTACCTTCCTCCCTCTGACTTCTGGCCTCTTGAGTTTGCGTAGTTGCAGTAGCACCTACATGGTGTCTACAGGACACACAGCAGGAGGACTCTCTTTCTTCATTGTTATGTTCATTGTATCTCCTGTTCTTCTACCCGAGCAGAGCTGAGCGATTTCATGGAGGAGCTCTGAGAGACTGGATGTAAGTAAACTCACTCTTCACTTTCTCTTCACATTATGTGTTTATTACGTTTTACCTGAAGCATGAGAGAAGCATGAGAGTAACTGTAAGGCACAGATAAGTCAGTGTGTTTTTTTTTTTTATTGTTTAAGAGAAAAGTTTTCTTTCATGTCACTGAGGTTCTCTGCCACGCCAAGAAGGCTCTTATCAACACACATTGCACACACATACACACATAGCAGTACACTGTTTTTTTTTTCAGATTCCTGATTGTATATCTTTAGGGCTAAGAGCTTAAGTCTTAGACCAAAGTGGCTGAGATGCAATGCAGCCCAGCTTGTGATGAACGTCTGTTCTTTTCAAATGGAAACACAAACTGCAGGCGTTTTACATACATTAGAGATATCAAGAGTGCTTAGCCTCCAGTATGATAATCAAATACCAACAAGCAAGATCTACAGAAAGTAAGTCCACACTGCTTACTTAACTTGTCTCAGTTAAATCTGATTAGAGTCATTCATTTAGCCCAGCCGTTTTTCATATTTGTTCTTTAAAAGTGTCCTTTCTTGTTAAGGTAATCTGGCACTGTCATCTAATCAACATATTTATTGTCTATTATAGAAATAATACTATTAATATTGTATTAAACTATACTAGCACTATTATAGCAGCAGTCTGTGTAAACAGTTTTACACGTAATAAGCTCTAAGATACTGTCGTCTGGTTATAATATTTCCACTTATATAACAGCACCAATGTTTTTTTTTATTTACACTCATGTTTGTTAGCTTGCATTAATTTGTTGAAACTTGTGAAATGTGTATTTCAACTTGAAAAATGCTCATGAAACACCTTATCTTCTACAGTGAAAAATACATTTGATGAAGGACAGAAGAGGAGCTTTATCTCTATATATGACAATGACACTCATTGTTTAATGTTCTGCCCATTTAATTTGTATCTGTTTTAAACTTGTGACAGAACAATCTCAGCCAATGAAAAACTAAGGAGTGGATTTGGGACTTCCAGCTGTTGATGATCACTGCGTCGTGATTGGCTGGAGCGATGACAGTCAGCGGGGAGAAGCTGGAGGGAGGCAGAAGGGTGTCAGAGGTGGCGACCCCTCATGAAGGAGGCTGGGGTTGGATGATTGTTGCTGGATGTTTTCTTGCCACAATCTGCATCCGGGCAGTGACCAGGTAAATTTACACAAGTGCTTATCTGTGAAATTGTCCGACTATCCAGACATTTTGTGACTTGTTAGTAATGTCACCAGCAGCATAAAACCCTCCCATACTGGGATAACTTCAATAAGATGAAGCCTCAGGTCTGTCAGGATATCAACACAAAAAAGAAAACCTCACTGAAGTTTTAACATAGATGGTGGAGCTTTTATTCATTAGTAAAATATCTTGGATTTAAAGGCTCTAGCAGATCTTTTACTGCTAGTAAAAGATCTGAGCTCTTATAAAAGGAACACTTGGAGAACATTGAACACATAACACTCACACCTGGAACAACACTGGACAAGGAGATTACTTTTAGTTGGAAAATAAACATCCAAATACTGTACATATTTATTTTTTGCCTGTTTTTTGTTTTGTTCCTGATTGCATGACTTTCCCTGTGAGTGCTTTTGTAACTTTTTTCGACTTGCAGAATTTTGTGACATTCAGGCATCATGTTGAAACTATTAAATTCAGCATTGACACTTTCTATCCAGTAGGACTCTCACTTCCTGCTGAGATTTTCCAACTTTGTGAAAATTTGACGCAACTGTACGCTGTTGTTTTGCATTTGACTTCTGCCATTGCCTTTTGACCATTTGAACCTTGAAGCACACAAATAAGTAGAATAAAACAGGATTAAACAGCTGTATTATTTTATAACTTTATATACTGAATCATGTTATATACTGACTATAAATGGGAAGGGCTTCTCTTTATTACATTTGTAATAAAAAATAACATTTGGCATCAGAACATCTCTACTTTGAATGATAGTTTTTATGATCGATATCTGATCTGCTCTGGTGGGATGCCATGACACATGGGAGTAACTTTTCTTTGGTTACACAATAGATTATAAAGTCATAAAAATAAAGGTCATGGAGGACAGCACTGTTTGATTGGTGAATATGAATGACAGCCATAAACTGGGTGACTTAGATTATATAATGAAAAAGACACCCAGCAATGAAACATACCGTTTATATTGACTGCTTTGAAAGGAGAGAGTCATCCATTCCAACCTATTCTTAAAGGTCTGTTCTCAACCTTTATACCCTTGAACTAACTCTTTAAATGGAATACTGTTTTAGAGTACTGTAAACAAAAACGTGACAGACTCACAAAGCACGTGACCAGTTTATGACCTCGTTCAAAGCTTTCTTGTTTTTGATCTTCTCTTGAGGAAGTGCTTAACGCTAACACAAAATATACCCTATGTGTCAGGCGGAATCCCTTTCCCAAGATGGAAACTCCAAACAAACAACATATTTACATCAAATCTTAATGTTTAATTATAAGAGTTTAAGTATAACTTAAGTGCTTCATCGATGAGCTAGAGACATTTGTCAAATGATATTATGAGAAATTGTGTTAACTGTCACTGGAAACATTCACATAATCCGGCCTCCTCCATCTCCAGGTGTGTTTCCATGTTCTTTGTGGAGTTCCAGCTGCACTTTGAGAAAGATTACTCAACAACCGCATGGATCTACAGTCTGGTCGACTCACCACCATGCTTTGTGGTGAGATTATCTGTTTCATCTGAAAGCAAATCATGCTGCACGTACCATATTTAAGGAAGAAAAGTGTAATGTATATACTTTTTTGTTCTTTTATGTTAATCTAGAAATACATAGATGCAGATGAAGTATTATAAAATAGACCAGATACAGGATTATACAACTAGTAACTGTAGAAAGTATTTTGTGACAAATGGAGATCAGTTTATATAAAATGCAGTATCCTGCCCTTAAGAAAACAAAATCCTGTCTTTAAGCGTCAAGGTTTTATATCACACACATGTCAAACCCTGTAAGAGAATATATGGGCTGACATTCCACCCTCAATCAGTGCTCAATGACTAATCCACACAACTTGTGTCTTCAGCTCCTTTGGGTAGTTTCCTTGGCCACCGTCTCTCCTGCAGAGCTACAGTGACCCTGGGAGGTCTGTTGTCCTCTGCTGGTCTGGTCCTCAGCTCCGTTGCCTCCTCTCTGGAACATCTATACATCTCCATGGGCATCCTCACAGGTACACAGACACCTCACCACCAGAGTAAACTTACTGTTGCCTGTTAATGTAAGCATCTCAAAACCTTTTTTTAGCAATGATTTTATAAACTACTTTTTCCTCAATAACTTTTCTGCACTCTCGTAAAGCACTTTGAACTGCAATTTAATTCGTCTGAAAGGTGCTATATAAATAAAGTTTGATTGATTTGATTGAAAACCTGGAGTTTCTGTCTCAAAATATTCACCATTACATCTTCTTTGTTTGAACTGGCTTGGGATTTTGTCTTACGACAGTTTACACTGAAGTTGGGCATTTGAAGCTCTAATTTTCACTGGTGATAAAACCACAACATATGATAATAGGGGTGTATTAAATGAACAATGAACTCTGTAGATTAAGAAGGAATGACTCACATGCATACACACAGGACACTCTAACAACCACAAACAATGAAAATCCAAATCATAGACACCACAAAAACATCTGTGGATTTACAAAACTCTTCAGCTTTGATCAATGGTGAGTCACATTCCTTTAACATTACTGCGGATACATTATTACACCGCTCTTGCTAGTTAGCAGCAGACAGTAGCAAAGGTGAGCCCGATCCCCAGAGCTTATCATGCAGGTTAGTAAGTTGATATTGCTAACTTATAATACTAAGGCAGCCCTTTCCAGAAAGTCCTCGTCTTCATCCTCATCTTCCTCATGTTTCCCCCACATCAGCAATGAAATCATTTTAATTACTTTAAAATTTTGGAGAAATTCGCAGTCAATTTTTTCCAGGAAATTTTAAACATTTTTGAAGTCAACATTTTTTCATTAAAATTTTCGACATGTTTGAAGTTAACATTTTTTAATTAAAATCTTCTTAATTTTTGATTTCCAAATTTTTTCATGAAAATTTTCGAGAAATGTGAAGTCATTATTTGATAAAAATCTTCAACATTTTTGAAGTCAAATTTTTTTTCATTAATTTCTAGTTTGTTAATTGTCACCACTGACATCATCCTCTGTCCTCTTTATATTTTTAACAATGACAAAATCAAACATCTTCAATAACAAGAATGTATAACCTCATATATCATTTAGTATAAGGCATTTATTGCGGGGTGTATCAGGGGACTTGCATCATCTGGCAGGTTTTGCTGGACTCAAAACCACTTCATCTGTCTTTACAGGTATTGGCTTTGCTCTCAGCTACACACCATCTGTAGCAATGGTTGGAAGGTACTTCAGTGATAGGAAAGCTCTGGCCTATGGAATCGCCCTTTCCGGTAGAGACATCCTTACTCTTGTTTTTAGTTGTTTACTTGTCATTCAAACACTACGTAAACATCTTCTCTCTTCTACTCTTTCACTGTAAATTTCCCCATTGTGGGATAAATAAAGGATTATCTTATCTTATCTTATCTTATCTTACTTCCTTTGTGCATTTCCCCCTGTCTGTCTTGAAGTTCCTCTACCTATACCTCTTTTTCACTCTCCTTGCCTCATTCCATCCCATCAAATCCAGTTTCACCTCATCCTCAGGTAATGGCATTGGGACCTTCATCTTGGCTCCTGCAGTCCAGCTGCTTATTGAGCGTTACTCCTGGAGAGGAGCTCTGCTTGTGCTGGGAGGGTTTGTTTCCAATCTGTGTGTCTGTGGCGCCCTCATGAGGCCACTTGGATCAAAAGGCGGTGAAAGGTAAGCCCGAACTGTACTACTGAGATGTTTCATTTTTCGGAGTCTCTCATGGCGATGCTTCTTTATGTTTATACGAGAACTTAAAGGAAAGTTGATTCATAATTATTTAGTTGAGACTTCTTGTTTGTGCCCATACAAGGTTCTAACATAGCTAATGTTTTTAATTAAATGAACAGTGAGGCAGCACATTCTTAGAATAACAGGAAGTTTTGCATTCGTTGTCAAATATATTTTTATTTGATTATCTGTTGAGGACTTGTTTCCTAATGACATTTTTGATACATGCCTGTTGATCTTCCTAAGAAGATTGATACTGATGTTCATATCTGTGCACTAAATACTAGATTTGGCAAAACTAGACAGGTAGTCTTTATCCCTCTGCTTTTAGCTTTATGTTTAGCTAAGCAAACTGTGTTCTGTCACTAGCTCCATGGTTAATCAACTGACATGTAACTTCCACTAGAAACTGATTTAACATATCAATCTTTGAAGTAATGTACCATAGCCTGTTTCTTGATACCTATCACTCTTTTTTTAAATTATGTTTTCTTCCATCTAAAGGATATTGGAAAAAAATATGGCAAACCTGGAGAAAGACTGTATAACAGCAAGGCTGGATTCTAAAAACTCAAAACAAGAGACATTGCTGGGAGAGATCGGACCCTCAAATCCCAAACTATCAAATTGTAACATAATTGAGGACTTTAAATGCATAACCTTGAAAAAGGCAAACATTGTAAAGAAAGAAGATTCAGGACTAACAGAAGCCAAACAATTGGATCCCCATAAGTTTGATGACACTGATAGCCCTTCTACCGAGGCTTTACTGGACACAAAAACATCCTTCAGTCGTCGATTTCTACCCAAGGAGTTTGGATTTCTTCTGTTACCGGACTTCCTGTTTCTGTCTGTGTCCCTTCTGTTTCTGGCTTATGGTTGCAGCACTCCAGTGGTTTACCTGGTCCCTTATGCCCTCAGTGTGGGGGTGGGTTATCGGGAGGCTGCCTTCCTCATGTCCATATTTGGAGTCAGTGGCATTGTGGGTAACATCACCTTTGGCTGGATCACAGACAGAAAGTAAGAGGGATTGGAAAGGTTTACTTTTTTGTGTCAGCATTTGAATCAAGCCCAATTCTGACAGATTACCCTCCCTCTAGGTTTCTGAGGAGCTATCGCATGCTGACCTACATGGTGGCAATTGCCATGGAGGGCCTCTGCTGTATGTGCCTCCCTCTCCTCAACTCCTTCTCCCTCCTGGTCACGTTTTCCATGATATACGGGTACTTTGACGGGGCGTATGTAGCACTTATCCCAGTGGTGACCTCTGATGTCGTGGGCCCCACTTACATGACCTGCGCTCTTGGTGTGGTCTACTTCCTGCATGCTGCCCCTTACCTGGTCAGCCCACCATTAGGAGGTAAGTGCAAATTTATTTCAAAAGGTGATGACTGAATCACAATCTGTTTTATGTGATTTTTTTCATCAATGAAATAAATCAGAAGGTCCAAGGCGATTATTACACTAACCTTTTACAGGGAATAACATCTGCAGATTTTTTATCAATCTGCATTAAGCTCTAAGCTTTACAACTCATAATGTCCCCCATTACAAAACTATGTGTGTAAAGTTATTTAATTGAGTAACACAAGGATGGAAAATTGTGAAAGCCCCCCTTAAAGGCAATGGAAAGACAAATCCACAATTACCTTTCAACATTTTAATGTAGCAGGGATGTGAACATAAACACTAAATGATGTATAGTGTATGTACTTAACAGTAGGCATTGTAAAATACCAAAATCACAATATTATGTTTCTGTAAATGTTCATTGTAATGGACATTGATTGGGCGTGGTAACACTGGCTTATTGTTACAAAAGTCAACGCTCAATGTTAGAGTCCTTCTTGGGCAAAGGACCAATGGGAGGAGGAGTTTAATTTAAAACTTGCTAATGCAATAGAGTTATTATTTAGTTTTAAATTCAGTTGTATGTAATCTTTCCAGATGTCAGTGCTCCTGTTTCCCCCTATAACTCTGAGTCAGATGACACAAACATTCTGTTAAGCGCTTCTTAACATTAAATGTCCCATGCTGCCACATTGTTGTAAACAAAACCAAACAGATGTCAATCAAAACATCCCCCAACTGTTCTAGGAATGGTTTCAACCCTAAGTTTCTTAACTTCTTAACTATCATAATTTGAAGATTTTCAAGTCCATTTTACAGAGATTTTAAAGACAGTTAATTTTCATCGATGCTAACACATCTTTCCTGACTTCTGTCTCCAGGTTGGTTTGTAGACAAGACAGGAAACTATGCAGCCACCTTCTTCATCAGCGGGACTTCCTTCATGTTCAGCGCCGTGCTCTTAGCAGCTGCCATGTTGGTCAAACGCTGTCAGAGGAACAAAGCTAACTCAGCTTCACAACTTTGACCCCCTGCTGCTTCTGCTCAGCACAGCATCGTGTGAAGAAAAGATTTTGCCCCACTTGCAATATGTGCATCACCACTACTTAACTACTATGACGGTTTGCAAATGATGAAGGAAAGGGGTTATTTTTAAAGTCACGTGTCGCTGTTGTGTTAACACAAAAAACCCCAAGGCTCCGAAAGTTTCAGAGAACCCAAAGCTATCCAAATCAGTGCCTGTTTTTAAAGACAAAAAGTTATGACTGAGAGTTTGTGTTATAATGACTTGTTATTTTGTTCCATGTTACTTATTTGTAGAGGATTTATTTTGTAAAACTAAAGCACTAAAACCAAAAAGTGTGAGCTGGTTGCCATTTGTGTTTCAGTAAAATCCAGAGTTCAGTGATTTTACAAATATTGATATTGACATGCTGATAAGTGATTCAAAATATATTCTAGTTTTATTACTTTATTTTTATCAAAATTGTGATGTGTAACTTTAAATATAACTTTATTTTTCCAAACTGAATAAGAACAAACAAAATCCCACAAATGTGTTGGACTTCAATCAAGTGATCTTGTTATTTGTCATTTTACCTCTATTTTGAAATATCACTAATTACAGAAAGTCCAAAATATCAACTAACAGCATTTGACCCTTAATTGTCAGAAATGAACTCTTGAGTTAATGCATTTTTTTTGACAGCATAGGTTTTATATGCATTGAGATGTATATTCCCCTTCCATTAAAAAGACTATAAAATGTCATAAAATTCCAATGTTGACCAAAAACTAAAAAGAATCCATAAAATCACACTGCAGACTCACTTATTGTAAGAGCTTCTATTGGATTGTATTTTGATTGCTGGTAATAGTTACCTGTGTTTTTGTAACTGTTGCCAGAAATGATGGCCTTAACAACATCACATGAAAGCTGTTTTAGTTATTTGTAATTTTTTATATTTATTAAATATTTGTAAAGGTGGAGGTAGAGGCTGGTGGAGCTGTGGGATTGCAGATTGGTGGACATTGGAGGTGGTGCTGAGGTCTACAGCTGTCAAGCTACACAATTAGCAGGTACTGGTGAAAGCTGATGTTTTTTACTGTCTGAGAGGTCAGATGCTTGGTGTCAGTAGACATTTGAGTTGAGGGCATGGGCTAAAGCTTTCTTTAATATTGGTAGAGTGAAGATGGCTGCTTGTGTGAGAAATGGCAGCCTATAGCCCTTTCCGAATTGTCACAGTTCAGTAGGCAGTACGTACTTTTCAGTAGGGAGTTTCAGTATACTGAACTTTTGTGGTTATTCAGTATGCATTTTTTGGGTCCACCTCAGTATACTGAACATTTCAGTATGGATACTAACTTCCGGATTTCATGTAGTATGGATCGGATGCGTGCTTTCAGGAAATGAATTGTATTTACCACCCACAATGCTGTGCGAAATTAAACGTAAATCGTCACATCACGTCCGCCTCCAAATCAAAACAAACGCGTGGATTAATAGAATACATTTTTGATCTAGAGTTAAAGTCCCGACTGAAATCACTACTTTAAATTAACAACAGAAAATATAACAAATGTATACACACAGACACCTCTACACTTAAAAGAACACATCTTGTGCAACTTAACTTGTTTTGGAAACTTTCACACAGGCCTATATAAAAACAAAAATAAATTTGACATGTTTAATTATGGATTGGCTTTTTTGAAACATTTAGGAATTAAATAATAGGCCTACATGAGTGTTTCATTTCTATCATGTTAAAAATAAGGCAATTTGTTTGGAGTTTAGTTGCCTATTTCCTTTGTCTCAGGAATAAGTTTAACATTTGGGGTTGTTTAATTGCATAAAAAACCCTAAAAAATGACCATGTAAACAATATAGGCTGGTTAATCAATAGTTTTCAAACTAATTTCAGTATTATTCAGTTGTATTCAAACGTTAGAAATTTCACAGGCCTACTCTAGGACCAGTCAAAATATTCAATAATACAAAGGATTAGGTCGACTTTTTTGTGTGTAGGCTACATTACCCAAATAGTAAATATCAAGGCTTATGATTTTATTTTGAAAGGATACACCTTGATTCTGCTCGATTCATTGCAGCTAATGTTTATCCGGTCTGTGCATTTAAATGTAACCATTTCCCTTGGTCTATGGCAATTATTTATCGACACAGCAAGACGGCACATTACATCTGTCAGATTTCAAAAACTCTCATGAAGTTGTTTCTTGCTGATGGCGAACAAGTTAAAAAAGTAAAGTTTGACTTTCCGTTACATCTTTATCAGATGGCGCCAAGGATAGTTTGCTACAAAAGTTTGACGTAGCCTACATCCGCCGAAGACAAACTGGCAAAATGTCCTTGTATTAGCATAAACAGATATCACAGAGATACCAGTGGTTTATTGCAACGGATATTAACCAATGATGTCTATATGGTTCAGATGTAAGTTTAAAAACCTTGTCATTTATTCTCCAATTTTTTTTTTTAATAAAGGCTATTTCACTTTAATGTGCGTCACTTTCAAATGCGGAAACAAGATGGCTGCCCACCTCGACTACCTAGACAGGGCCCCATATACCCAAAACATGCTAGCCCAACACAAACACAAACTGCAACCATACCCATGCTCTACAAGTACTGTAACCCCACTAGCATGTTTTAATACACAAAACACCCTCAGCAAGTGAGACGTAGTCGAATAGTTCTTAAAGAATCACCTCACTGTTCGTTAGAAATAAGTGCAGACAGTTAATTGAGTTTTGTACACGCGAAACTTGTGAATATTTTTGTACCTTTACTCCGCATACTTTAAAAGTTGATAAAACTCACAGCTGCTTATACATACAGTGACAACAACCTCCAAACCCCCTTCTCTGGGTTACAGGTGTAACAGTCAGAATATATTAGTAGTACCAAATAGCGCCACAAAGTGGTGTCTCTGTTTTGTTTAAGTGTGTGGGTGAGAAAGTCTATCTATGTCAGTCATCTTGTATGTCGATCACGAGAGGACTCTCCAAAAACTCTAGTGACGAGTTGGTGCAGGATAATAGCCTATTTTTACCTGTCATGTGTGATCAGGATATATAGTGCCGTGCTGACCTGGCTTTGTATGGTCCGTTTAGTAAAACAGAATAAAAGTGCCGTGTGGAAATCCCCAACTTTGTCGTCTGTTTAACTGATGCTAACCAGCTATCCCGGGACTTATTGCCAACTAGCTACACCTCCTGTACCAGCAGCGTTACAAGTGGCGCCCAAACATCGTTCTCTGGATCTCAACTCAACACCTTTACCAAAAGTACAGACCGGACCGGACATCATTCTATATTTTTCACCTCGAAAGTCGGTGTGAGTGGATTTTTGACTGTTTTTCCCGGACGTGTACCGTGCTATGTTTCAAGCTAACTTCTCCTGGAGCTATGCTAACCATGACCGTGCACGTTTGGATTGTTGAAGCATGCCACGTTTCTACGGCTTCGGATATATGTTTTTGCTTCATCATAAAAGCATCGAAGGATTTTACAAGTCTGCTTGACAAAGTCCATGTTCAAGCAGCATTAAAAGGCCATTCATAACTTGTCCATAAGTGGGATTGGATGCCTCCAAGCTTCATTATGCCTCTGATTATGGACCTTTTTCACTCTTAAGTGAATTGACCGAATTTACTGGACTGAGTAAGTAGAGGACTCTGACTGGATAACTGAAAATTCATGTTTTTTTGTACATCTACATGTTATAGCTAACATTATTCTCGCTGAGTAGGACAGTAATCTTACTTTATTTTCACCAGTGAATATTGAGCTTTACAGTAAAACGACTTTTCATCGCTATAATTTTTTTTTGCTGTTACCATCCCAGAGCCAACACTCCTGGATTCAAAACCCTATTCTGGAGCTCAAGCAGGTCATTCAGACTTTTCCCTTCCGACACATTCACTCGAACTCAGCAACACATCCAGGATGATTGCTGCTGCATTGTATCATGCTAAGCTAGAGCCCCCTGTGTTTGCTGGTGATAATAAAGTGCACCCTGAAGACTGGTTACATCAAGTCAACACTTACAGATCTTCATTGAACCTGACTGATGTACAAATATTAAACGAACTGCCACATTTCCTTGCTAGAGAGCCCAGCAAATGGTTCAAGGCACTCAGTTCATACGTCGTCACATGGTCTCAATTCTGCCAGCTCTTCAGAACTGTTTTTCTGCCATCTGACAACCAGGAACGTGTCCTGAGAGGCATTCTTGACCGTGTTCAAGCACTTGATGAGCCCCTTCCGATATTTGTGGCTCATATGTTGAGTGAGTTTAACAAATTGAAGAGCCCACCCCCTGAACAAGAACAGATTGAACTGGTATGCAAACATTCTCTCGAAAAATATAGAGTAGCACTGTATGGCATGCCTGTCTTTTCAGTAATGGACTTGTTGCTCCGAGCTCATGAGGTGCATGCAGTCCTTGGACCGAGAGGCAACCAGCCTCCTACCCAGTTCAGGAGAAACCAGACCAATGAGCCCTACTGCTTCAAATGCTCTCGGCCTGGGTTTACGTCTCGTACTTGCCCGAGCTGCAACGCTGAATCACATATGCCAGCACCCCCCACTAGATCTCAGGTCAGTCCCAAGCCCACCCCCCTAATAAATCTGACCCCAGACAGAGGTGAGCGAAGACCTAATTCAGGAGGCACGTCAGCAGACTCCCTACTGCCGACCAGACAGCCGGGAAACTTCAGGGGAGGGAGGACATTTCAACGAGGCAATCCTCCCTCTAGACGCTAATTGAGCCTCAACCACTGACCACACCCCCACAAGAGAAACATGTTCTAGGCCATGTCGAGGACTCTGATTCTCAGGCTCCCTGGAACACACCGCTGAGGACAAAAATAAACTTTAATTCTGTGTCTGTGGAGGCCACCTTGGACACAGGAGCTACCCTTTCAGCTGTACGAGCAGACTTCGTCAGAGTGTATAATGCCTATCCAACCAAAACACGCCAGTGGGTGGGTCCACCTGTAAGCCTTGCAGACAACGCTCCCTGCACCCCTGATGGTGTCACTTGGCTATCCATCGGCTTCATGAACAAGCGCTTCTACCAGCGTTTTGCCATAATCCATAACCTGTCAACTCCTTTCATTCTAGGAATGGATTTTATGATCAGAGCCTCGATTACCATCCACATCCCCTCCAGAACTGTATTTATGGATGAAATTCCTTGTCCTGTTGATGAGGTTGTGGACTATACAGTTGAACCACTGATTGAAAAAGACACTATTATGACCTTGGACACCCTACAATCTTCACTGGTGACAAAAATAGATGAGGCGAACCTCGAGGGACAACAGAAAGAGGCCATGTTCAGTCTTCTTACCCAGTTTGGTGACATGTTTGATGGTAATCTTGGACACACTTCCCTGACGGAACACACAATTGATACAGGTCAGGAAAAGCCAATAAATCTCCCTCCCTACCGCAGCTCTCCTGCGAAGAAAAGACTTATAGAAGAACAGGTAGAGCAGATGTTGAAAGACGGAATCATTGAGCAGTCTACCAGCCCCTGGGCTGCCCCAGTTGTGATCGTTAACAGACCTGACAGGGACCCAAGATTCTGTGTGGACTATAGAGGTTTGAACCAGGTCACACAAAAAGACTCTTACCCCCTGCCTCGTATTGACGAGTCGCTTGATTTTCTGGCAAGAGGGCAGTTCATCACAACACTGGATTTGGCTCGTGGATATTGGCAGGTGGCAGTTGCAGAGGAATCCAGATCAAAAACAGCCTTCATATTACACTGTGGCCTTTTTCAGTTTTGTGTCCTCCCCTCTGGTCTCTGCAACGCACCAGCCACATTTCAAAGACTAATGAACAGTGTACTTGCTGGTCTCATCTACAAGACATGTGCAGTGTATCTCGATGATATTGTTATTGCTTCTCCCACTTCGAAGAGCACCTGACTGATCTCGAGGAAGTGCTCAAAAGACT